CCCCCCACCACACAGTGCAGCTTGTTGCTGGGAGACAGGGAGCTGGGTGGCCAACCTGCAATATCCAGAGCTCGCTAAGTGACCTGTGAAGGGAATTCATTCTCATTGAAGGTGATGTGTTTGGGGCTGTCTCCTGGGGGACACTCCTATCAATGTCATTCAGGGTTTTGTGCGTGAGTTGAGGGTGGTGTATGGCCCAGAGTGACTAGAGAAACTAGATAGACCTCTTTAATAGACAGTTCATACAGGCCAGTCTTGGAGGAGAACATCCACCCGACCAGAGGAGGAGCACTGTGGTGGGAATCTCATGAGAGGTGAAACAGCGCCAGAATCAAGGGCTGAGGAAACCCCAAGGTCTGTGGACTCCATATAGTCGGAGGCTAGGTACAGTAAGGGAGAAGCTCGTTCACAAATGTATGCAGAATGAAGGTTAGGAGACTCCCAGAAGGCTGAGATTTGGGATGTACAGCTGGAGTTGGAGTTCTGGGTGCTCAGCACCTTTGAAAGTCAGGCCCATAATTTCTAACCTTAGATGGTCCTGTGATAGATGGTAAATGTTTAAGGCATTTATGGGAAATGTAAATCAAGGGAGTTGTAGTCATCTCAGCTGTAATATCTAAATTCTGTACAACAGCCTCTCTTCCTCTTCTGGCCTTTCCTTTAGGGTGGCACTAAAGAGCTATCACCAGCTGTGCTGGAGAAGAGGCGCCGAAGGAAGTATGAGAAGGAGAGAAAGAGGCGCCGAAAAAAGGAGCTGAAGATGAAGGAGAAAATGGAGAAGAAGGGAGCCCAGGAGGCTGCTGCAGCTGTGGAGCCGCAGCAAGCAAAGGAGGAGAGCAAGGTTGGGATCATCTTCAACCAGGTCAAAGTCTGTGAGGAGGAGGAGCTGAGCAAGACAGAGAAGAAGAGAGAGAAGAGGAAGAGAGTGAAGGGTAACCTTACCCCTCTGACCGGCAAGAACTACAAGCAGCTGCTGAGCAGGCTGGAAGCCCGGAAGAGCAAACTGGAGGAGCTGAAGGACAAGGACCAAAAGAAAGCCCAGGAGCTGGAAAATAAAATGAAATGGACCAACGTCCTTTACAAGGCAGAAGGCGTCAAGATCCGCGATGACGAGGAACGTCTGAAGGCTGCCCTGAAGCGCAAGGAGAAGCGCAAGGCCCAGCGCCAGAAGCAGTGGGAGAAGAGGACAGAGAATGTGGTAGAGAAGATGCAGCAGCGGCAGGACAAGCGGCGTAAGAACATCCACAAGAAGAAGGTGGCCAAGGTGGAGCGCAGGAAGGACAAGGCCCGGAAGAAGGGCCGCATCCTGCCAGAGGACTTGGAGAAAGCTGGTGTGAAATGAGACTAGGGCTGCCAGTGTTGGTGGCATGGAAATGGACTCTCAGCCTGCACTTACGGGGCTTGTTGTGGGATCTCTTAATAAACTGTTTTACAAAACTGCTCTGATACCTGCGCCTGGTGCCATTTATCCCGTAGCCATCCAAACCCATGTTTAGGCACTTATAATGCAGCCTGATTTTTTTTTCAGGGGTGCTGAACGTTGGGCCTGGGGTTGGTTGGTTGTGCCTCTGAAAATCAAGCTGTTTACTTGGCTGCTTAATGTTAAGTTTGGAAGATGGGGACTCTACTTTTTCTAACTTCATGATGCCCAGAATGGAACATTTATATTCTAGGTATCGGCTGGCTAGCCCTCATTTCTCTCTGATTGCAACTATTTATCCCTGTAGGGGGAAATCTGCAGCATCTCTCGTTCGTTATCATTTAGTCTGTAGCATGTTAGCGCATCTAAAATTGCATAGAATCTGATACAGGCTTCTGAGGTTTGGCTCAGCCCCCTTAATGCCTTCTATGGGGGGCATGGATCATCGTTCACGTAGCGCTCCCGTCAGTATGTGGCCTGGGGAAGCTAATGATCCGACCAGCACACCGAGTTCAGTGATGAATCCCGTCACCTGCCGGCTGAGGCATGTTGCACATATGCTAAGAAGATGCCTTCCACACCCAACCGGGTCTTTCTAGCTTTATTCATCAGCTGCAGGTCTCCATGCACACCCCCTCCCGTTTCCAGTTCTGAGCTTAGGTTGAAGTTCATTTTTTATTCCACCTTACCTCTTCAGTGCCAAAAGGGGCTGTTGCAAATTGTGAACTCAATGGCAAGGAAGGAAAGAGCTGTGTATAGCGCCATGCTCTTAAAGAGCTGCAAAATGCTCCCTGGTAGCCACTCTCTGACCACAGATACCAGAGCTGGAGCACAGGTTTTCCATATGGCAATGCAGAGACCTAGTTCTGTTTTTCTTTTGTACTAGTACAAATATATTTTCCTTAAACAAAATGAGTGGAACTTCCATGATGTATCAAATGGCCAAGTTTGGGGAGTCCACCTGTTAACCTGATTTTTATGGGCTGATTTATTATTATAGGCTCGCCAATGATCTGACTAGAAGATACTTAGGTTCTTGTCGCAAAACCAGGCTACAGAATTAGAGAATGTAGAGAGTTCAATACTTTGTCTGGCCCCTTGGGGTGTGTGGCAAAGACATTCACACTGAGGACAAAGCCAGGCTTTAGAGGTTTTATTAAAATAAAGGAATTATCAACGCCCCAAACCATCGAGCCACAAAGCACTAGTACAGTTCTGTAGACTCTTGTATCATCCCTTTACCAACCTACTTAAACTACCATACTCACATCCTTCCTTGGGGACCTGGGAGTGGGAGACAAAGGATCAGCCTCATCTCTGGCCTGCCTGATAATTTCAGTGGTCCGGTTCCTCAATCCCAAGATGGTGGAGATCAGGGTCAGGGGTTAAGTAGCTGAGCTATATTGCAAAAGCTGAGCTGAAACCCCAAACAAAAGAGGCCTCAAGGCCAAAGACAAGGAAAAAGATCTAACCCCCCACATGGTGGTTTCCCCTCCTATAGAGTCCTGGCACTATCCTGAATATTCATATCATTACCCAACCATGCTCAAATCTTATTTCCTCACCCAGATAAATCTTAGGGTATTCACGGTTTTGAGAATATTGTAACAAATCGTGTTACCTTTGGCCTGAGCTGTTAATTCCATGTTTTTGCAGTGTACCTGGAGGTTACTGGCATGTTCCAGAATTCCGGTAAACACATTCAGTTCGCCAAAGTTGAAAGGGGTAACTGGTAGGCCATTTATCTATGCCAAAGGTTACAGATACTTCTGCTAACTTGCTCTAGCTAATCATACAGGGTACAGGCCTGTAGGGTCTTTGCATTACAGCCAAATATAATGAAGTGATGTTTACTGAAATTACTCAGTACAAAAACATAAAACAATATAATCAATCAAACCAATAAAGAAAAACATATAATCTAGCAGGCTAGCCCCATGGGCTACATACCTGCTGCCCCCTAAACAATCTGGAAATAGTCCATGTGTATATTTCCCCCACCCCACCCCACCCATTGCTCCCTGAACATATTGGGTATAGGTACAATATTGTTTCCGGCTTCTCTGCATATGCTGCAAACACAGCATGCTCTGAGAAATGGGGTGTGGTGTTTCCAGTTAGTGGGAGCGCCTTAAATTGAGTGCCTGTGATTTGGTAGTAACATAGATAAGTATGAGCTTTATTGCTGGATAGACATCTACACAGCATTCATTAAACTCCCAGAGTCCAATCCCATTGTACATGGGACTCACTTAAAAAACACGGGATGAATTCTCGGGGACCAGTGTCTTGTTTTGTTCCAAGAGTGAGACTGGGCATGTGGCAGGGATGTTCCCAGGAGGACATCATATTGGGCTCTAATCAGAGGATGGCAAGGGAGGGGAGATCATGAATTCATCAGCCAATTTTCATTGATTTTAAATAGGGGATGGAGGATAATAATTAAAGGGTTTAGGTCTCTCATAATCTCTCTCAAATGTTTAACGGGAGCATTTAAAAAGGTTTTAATAAAATGTTCTTTAACGTCTGATCTTTTGGTTATTCCAGTGTCCTCCACTGCAGCTTCTGGATGCATGTAAAAAAAACTTGAAAACCCATTAAATTAGAAGTGGGCAAAAGTCAGTACAAAAGCTCATCTGCATTTCTAAGGTGTCCACCACCCTGGCATCTAAGTACCAATACATCATTTTAAAAGTAACCAACAGCCCTCCCTCACTCCCTGTCAATTTTAGTTCGAGCTGCTCATGTATGAGGCACTGAATCTAGATGGTTTACTCGAGGAATAAAATTTGATCTGATAGTATCCCTTTAACTCGAAGTGTCATCTCTAGAGATGAAAAAAAATTCCTAGCACTGTCCACATTGGTACTGTACCCATGAGAGAGCGGCATGGTGCTTAGCCTTGCTCAGAGCAGGTTTGCTCCAAAGGGCATGATCACCTACGTGCTCCTGGGAGCAATTTGGTGCGTGAATGCATGGTGTGTTGCAGGCACATTAGGGGCACCGAGTACTTAGGAGCCAGATGTTAAAGGGGTCACCACAAGACCATCTCCCGAGTCCAGTCTCTGCGTCCACAAGCTCCGTCCTTTGTTCTTTTCAGCTTCACCACCCCCTCGGCTAGGGGTCAGGGGAGGGTAATATTGGCAACTTCCCCTTTAAGAGGAAATAGACCACGGCCCCTTTAAATCCTCCCCAGCTCGCTTGCGTCTCGCCTGTGTCGAGGCTTGCCTCGCTCTCGCGGGATTTCCAGCCCCATACATATATTACCCAGCATGCCCCGCTCTCTCTTTTTCCACCTCAATCCAAGATGGTGAGTGGTGGCGGCGGCTGCTGGGCCCGGGTTCGGGGGAGGTTGAATCCGCCGCCATCCGCCCCTTAACCGGGGCCGTAGCCGGGCGCCACCGGGCGGGGCAGACGCGCGGCCCCCGGAGGGACCAGGCCGGGCTCTTTCGCGGTTTGCGGGAGTCGGGACCGGCCTGGGCCTCAGCCTCACCCGCCTGCGGCAGGGCCCCGGGGGCTGAGCTTAGCCCGTGGGGAGCCGCGTCTCGGGGGTGGCGGGCGCCTGTCCTCCCGGCCGAGGGCCCTCCCCAGAGATGGGTTGGGGGCCCCGGGGACAAGGGCAGGCCGGGGCCTCTAGTGCCTTGCCGGGGGTGGGGGGAGGTAGGGGATGGTGGGGGGCAGGACGCGCACCTGCAGCGGAGGCTCCAGGCCCGGGGGCGCGCTGTGGCTTGAAGGGAGTGAAACTGGGTCTGTTTCCTCTCCTGGCCCTGGCCGAGTCTCTTCTCCTCGGGCTGAGGCTAAAGCCGCCCCCAACTAGCGATGGGCCTTCACATCATCAGGTGTGAAGCGGCTCAAATGCGGCAGACCCAGGAGATCGGGACCAGCGCCCTGGGGCTGCCTGGTGAAGTCTCTCCTCACAGAGCAGATAGTCACTCCTGTTTTCAGTACTGCAGGAGGGTGTGAGGAGCCAGTTTGCTTCTACCGTTGGGGGGGAGAGGGGGCTCTTGCTCCCATCGCGAAGTGGCTACACCACCAGTTGGAGGAGGCATTGCTCTGCCCTGGGCAGTTTCTCTGTGATTAAGGGCATTTGAGTGAGATAAAAATGGCTCATTGATCTGCACAAGCAAAAATGTCTTACGAGAGGCTCTTTAAAAAGAGCCTTAAAAATCAAGATGAGGGAGTTGAGGCATCATGGCTACCCCTGCAAGGACAGGGTCTAGACCTGCACACTAATATGCTCCACTTTAATAAAGATAAGCCTCTCCAAGCAGGCATTGCTTGAATGGAGGGAGTTTAGCATTTCTTTCTTTTTGCAGCCGAAAGGAAAGAAGGCTAAGGGCAAGAAGGTGGCACCTGCCCCTGCTGTAGTCAAGAAGCAGGAGGCCAAGAAGGTTGTAAATCCTCTCTTTGAGAAGAGGCCCAAGAACTTTGGCATTGGTGAGTAAATGGGCATTTGGGGTGCTTTGGGCTGTCCAAGAGATGATACTCTGAATAGGTAATGGTATTTGTTAAGTTGTAGTGTGGACTTCCTCTACCCCTGCAACTGATAGTGAAGTTCACAACTCTAGTTAGGCTTATTGCTAAATGAAAGTATAATTTAGATGTGTCTTATGTTTTGGTAGTAAAGCATTGTTAAACAATTAGCAACGTTAATCTTGTGATAGGGATATGTCATGGCTGTCTGAAATTAGATGAGTATCTAATTGTGGTGTAAATGGGCTCCTTTCATAGAAATGCCATTTCTAATTGGCTATGGACAGAAATCTTGGGTTTAGGGGTGGTGGGGATGGAGAGCAGGGATTGAGTATGGTAGTAGAAAACATTATCAAATTCTGGTTTTAACAGAGACCACCCCCGCCCCCCCATATTGTTTGCTAAATTAGTTGAACAGCAGCTTTTCATACTGTGTGCAGATGATGCAAAAGAATATTTGCTATCTGAGTGATAGTGCTGACATGTATATCCACCAAGATCGCTGATGCACTCCTATCTGTGCTCTATATTGTACAAGCTCACATGACTTTGGAGCATCTGAATTGTGATCTGTGTTTCAGGACAGGATATCCAGCCCAAGCGTGATCTAACACGTTTTGTGAAATGGCCCCGCTACATCAGACTCCAGCGCCAGAGAGCCATTCTTTACAAACGTTTGAAGGTGCCCCCTGCAATTAACCAGTTCACCCAGGCTTTGGACCGCCAAACAGGTAAGATCAGATCCAAAAACCTTTCTTGGCTCTAGTTGCCTATGAGGGGCTGAGAAAACAGAATACTGACTTAACATGTGTAAATCTACATGTTGAGTTAGTTCAATTTGAAAGTGTGTTTTTGTGCAGGTTCTAATACTGATCAGTGGGGGGGAGGAGGAATTTGTAGTTCCATTCAAGAGCTATCTGAACACACTTGTGCACTGTCAGGCTAAAGCTTCACCATCTGGGGAAATCTTAGATCATTCCCACTCTCCCTCATGTTCTCCCAAAGATACAAGAGCCCTGATCTTGAATTTGGACCTTTAGTATGTACCTTAAGTGTACATGGAAAGCATGGGGCCCAGTTGCATCACTGTAAATAGGTAGTCTCTTGGGTAGAGTTGGATTGGGGATGCAGGCTTGTGGTGGGAACAGCAGTCAGATATGCTGAGCTAGAATAAGGGGGAAATTGGGGCAGGAGGGTCAGAAAGATGCAACTCCCAACACAAGGAAATGGTTTGTAAAAGGACAATAACTGTAGAAGAATTTTCAGCCTAAGTAATACAGAGTAACTAGTTATCTGGGAGGCTGATACAAAATGTGCTGCTCTGTTACAAGGAGAGGGATAAGTTGCCCCCACACTTTAACCATAGATCCTGTAGAAAGAGGGGTTTAGTTGGTCGATACTATGAGCAGAGATCTATGTTGGTATGAATGAAGCAGGAGTGCCAGGAAGAGATCTAACTTGTGACATGCAAACGAGAAGCTTAAAATTGGCACTGGAGCTGCATAGTGTAAGAATAAGTTAACACTGATTGTGCAAATGATGATGATTAATATTTGCTATCTGAGCATTAATGATGACTACTCACCACCAAGATCGCTGATGCACAAACGTATCCTTTTTGGGGGGAGGAGAATAATGTGTCTTTAAGGCAACTAATGGAATCTGGATTATCTTTCAGCTACTCAGCTTCTGAAACTGGCTCACAAATACAGACCTGAGACCAAGCAAGAGAAGAAACAGAGGCTGCTGGCTCGGGCTGAGCAGAAAGCTGCAGGAAAGGGGGATGCTCCTACTAAGAGACCGCCTGTCCTCAGAGCTGGTAACTTTCTACATTTGTGCTGTGAACTTGCCTTGGCGTCTAGAGAGACAAGGCCTCGTTGAACAACTGAAAAGAGTAGGCTACTTCGCTTTCTTCTGTTTTCTTCCTTCTCCACATCAATCAATGACTTGGACAAGCTATTGCAATGATGTATGAATTTCTTCACCTGAAATGCAAACTGAAGAGCAAATAAAACGAGCTTTTTAACCCTGAGCTATAGCAGATTGTCCATATAATATTCCTCACTTGCAAATCTTGACCAGTAAGAGCTGGTGGCCACACAGTATTGTCCCTTGAATCGTGGATCTATAGGCAAGCCATGTAATGCTCAAAGGCCTTCTATTGGCTTTTTCAAAAACTTGGCCACACCAAAGACCTTACTTTATTGACTTTCTTTACAGGTGTCAACACTGTCACTACCCTAGTAGAGAACAAGAAAGCTCAGCTGGTAGTGATTGCCCATGATGTGGACCCCATTGAGGTAAGTGGCTTGTTCTTTTCTAGGTACTCTGTTCTAAAATAATGGTCTGGTCAGATCCCTCTATTGTATGGACTTCTAGGGGTGTCTGGAGCAGTAGTTCAGTAACAGCTCTCTAACTGCGTTGAGCTAGGAAAGGGTAAATCCATAACTGGCATTATGCCAGGTTTGGAGTCTAGCTCAGGCAAAGGCATGGTAAGACATTGTTCATTATAGAAAACCGCATGAAGTAGTAAAACTAACCTTGAAAGAATCTGAGATAAATTGTTACTGTTCTTACTTTGTGTTGTACAGAACATACATACAATAAACCGAATTGTACTGAATGGTCCTAGTGCTAAAGTTCCTGGCTTTTACATGGTGCGGCTTGGCCATTGCAATGATGTATGAATTTCTTCACCTGAAACTCAACCATGAAGAGTAAACTACACGAGCTTTTTAACCCTGAGCAATTGCCAAAGCCCACGCTTTATTCTTGGCATGTTGCAAAGCCAAGAGATAGTCTTCATTCTTGGGTCTCTGACCCGACACATCCTTAATCTCTTTCTAGTTGGTGGTCTTCCTGCCTGCCTTGTGCCGCAAAATGGGAGTTCCGTACTGTATCATCAAGGGCAAGGCCAGACTGGGGCGGCTAGTCCACAGAAAGACCTGCACCAGTGTTGCCTTCACACAGGTTAACCCGTAAGTGTTTCTTCTCATTCTTTCTAAGAATCTAAATTTGATCAGTTCAGAAGCAGAGAGCATACAGCTAATCCCCATAGTTAAATATTGGGGGGTGGGAGGGGAAGATAATCTTCCAAGGAAAAACCCACACCAGATGTCTATTCTAGACTAAGTACCTACAGACTTAAAAAAACAAACTGAACAATATATGGGGCCTGATTAAAAACCATTGCTAATACAGGTGTAACTCGGGATATGTCTACACAGCAATAAGACCTATGGCTGTGGTGGTCCAGGACAGTTGATTCAGGCTTGGACTGTGGGGTTTTAGAATTGCATTGTAGACATCTGGGCTCAGGCTGGAGCCTAGGTTCTGATTCCCTGTCAGGGAGGGGGAATAGTTGTAAAGTATTGTCAGTCTGTTGCATGGAGAGGCAATGCTAAATGGTAGTTTTAATAGTAGAGGTGGACCTTTTGCCAATGATGTGTATAGAATTTCTTCACCTGAAAAATCATGTGGCATTAAGAGCTTTTTAACCCTGAGACAAAAGGTTCCTCAGAAAATGCTGCTATTATTTCTGTTGGTGTTCCAAAGGAACTAACACTAGCATCTCATCACAGTGAGGATAAAGGAGCCCTAGCCAAGTTGGTTGAGGCTGTCAAGACCAACTACAATGACAGATATGATGAGGTAAGAATTTCAGTGCCACTGGCCCTTTTGTCAACATCTGTCTTGAGCCCATACAATTCCAGATTCATTGAAAAAATGTTATTGGACAGAAGCTGAAAACTATGCAGATTTAGATGCAAGTAGCTAGAAATAAACCAAAGCTGTCCGACAGGCCCAAACCTCTGCATACAGAAATAAACCAAAGCTGTCTGACAGGCCCAAACCTCTGCATACAGAGGTTTTGGTCCTTTGCATAGGAACTTCGCAGTCTGCCTTCCAGAACCAGGACTTCCAGAGTTAAAATTACAGCTCCCAGGATACCAGTTCATATCATATTTCACTGTTAGTCAAGTGTTTCTTCTTTCATATCAATTATGTACACATTTTCAATGAACTCAAACACTGAAATGGAAGTCTTTCTATCCCATTCTTTTCTCAGTCTTTGTGAAAATCACTATCTGCTTAGTAAATCCATCATGTGGGGGAGATGTGATGTAGTTGCCAAATAAACATCTGGAACCTGAAGTCAGTGACTTCTGACTGCCATAAATTCATGCAGGAACTGAACTACTGAAGTTCCATGCTGGGGGATAAAGGGTTAACTGATCATTCTAATCACTTATGCTGGACTTACTGGGAAAGGGTGCCTAACCTATTTTTCTGAATCTCTTTTCCTCCAGATCCGTCGTCACTGGGGTGGTAATGTGTTGGGGCCAAAATCAGTGGCTCGCATTGCCAAGCTTGAGAAAGCCAAGGCTAAAGAACTAGCCACCAAGCTGGGCTAAGTGTACTGGACTTGCATTTTTCTGTACATAAAAAATAAAATCTAAAACAGTGTTTCAGCATGGTGTCTGCTCTGGGATGGGCTTCAGAAAGAAGCTAGTATTAAAGCACTTGAGTAGTCTTAGCATTTACTTAAGACAAGAACTGAATAGCCATTTTGAGTGTTCATCAGTCCCTTAGTGATGGGAGTGTAAATCCCGTTAATGAAAAGAAGGAAGCTACTGAATCTACTGCAAAGACTCACTAAACTAGAAACCACTTCACCCCTTGCTGCCAGTCTTCTGTAGTGTGCTGGGCAACTTGTGCCTTAATACTTATATGCTGGAGAACTTCACCAGAAAAATTAACTTTAAATGCACTGTGTCTGCATGGCCTGCTCTTCGCTTTAACAATGGACTTGTACCTATGGCAGTGCACTGGGCCTCAGGACTCCAGTTGCAAAGCTTGGAACTAAACCTGTAGCTCTTTATCAGTACACAACTTGTAAAATGGATTTTCCTTCTGGCTCTTGTAAGAGTCCTTCTCCTGGCCATTTATTGTGGCTTTGTCTGAAAGAGTTTTCACTAGACCTCTGTTGCTAAAGCAGCATCATTCCTAGTGGGGCTGCAGGTATGGCTTATGTCTGTACAAGCTATGATGATGCTACATGCCTGTAGGCCAGGCCTGAGCCTTAAAAGCTAGTTTATCTAGCTCACGCTAGTTTTCTAAGCTTGGCACACTAACCATGCCTAGACATGGACCAAGCTGGCAATATTCAACTATTTTCACTTGACTGTGCCTTAGGTATGTCAGCTACATAACTTAATCAAAATCATGATTTTTTAAATCCAAGTCAAGTCCTGCTTACAGTCTCAAGCTTTACTGTAGCAAATGTCAAGAGGGCACTTCCGTTTTCCAGGGTTTAGTATTTTCAATTTTTTGAGTTTGATGTAGATGCCCAAAGCTCTGTATTTAGGCTCTCTTACTTCTGGGGGAGTGCTGCACCACTGCCCAGGTGCAGAATTTGTCCCCCACAGACTTGTTTCCCTGAAGAAAAATGACCACCTGTGGGGGAAGCCATAAGAGCAGTCATGTAACCCTCCCCAGGAGTATGTTATGGAGGCCCAGGGCAGTGGCCAGAGAGGTAAATCACTGTGTGGTGGGCCTGGGGAAGACAGTGCAAGTGGCTCCTACCCTGCACTGGGCTCAGCTGCTACTCCCAGCTGGGCTGGGGAGGATAAGACTTCCTTTTCCCCTGCAGGGCATCTGGGGCTGAAGCAGACCCTCCCCATGGCTCCTCAGCTGCAGGGGGAGGGATCCCTGTACAGGCAACTGCTCCCCATAGCCAAACCCTCTCACTGAGCCTCACCCCTGATGAGCTCCACTGCTGGACCCCCACCCCATTGAGCCCCAACCAACTGTACCAAGAGCCTCCCCCCCCAAATTCCACTTTCCCAGCATCTGGGACCCCCCTCTCCAGTCTCCCATTCCCCTTCCACCTATCACCCCCCCCCCACCCCCATACCCCCCCCCCCACCCC